TGGCGATGTATAGGTGTTCTACACGCAAAAGGTTAACTGAGAAATTGCTCAACTGTAATGGTTTCTTTAAAACCCATCGCTATCCCCCTTTTCTAAAATTCCGACAAAGACAAAGAATTTTCGTTCAATTTCCGACAGCGACGTGAAGCATTAATAAACACCGACACGAGACGTTTTAAAATTCAGACGAGCGACATGGGAGCCCCCCCTGGCAGGGCCTCATCTCTCAGTAAGTCCGTCTCTCAGTGTTTGTACCTCGAAACCCTTGCAACCACGTCTCAGTGAGTCCGTCTCTCTGTGTTTGTACCTCGCAACCTCTGCAACCCTTAAAATTACGTCTCAGTGAGTATTCTTCTTTAGAGAAAGGGAATATGTTTGAAGCATTCCACAAGAAGGTTTACCTTGTTTACCTGCTAACCTGCAAGTTTGCAGTCTGCGTTTGTCGCACACCGAGGTTCGTTTGACGAAATGTAATTCTTTCTTTTTTTCCCCAGCCACCCGACCCTTATTTTTCTCTGTCTCCCTATTCTTTATTTGTGTCTTTCTTTTGCAACCTTTGCAACGGAAATAAAATTACCAGCCAATCAGTGAACACGTTCCAAGAGCTTCATGCCGACTCATAAATACGGTATTTTGCAGAACCCTTGCTTAACGGCCAACGGAAGAGGAATGAACTCTGGAACGATTATAGTTTAGAACTGAGTGAGTCAAGTTCCACTATAAGGGAAAAACTGAACTGGAGCATAATTCATTTTTTTTCCATGCCGATCTGTAAACTTTATGATAATTCTCTGAATTCTAACTTATCAGCACATGAAATTAAATTGCTGTCGTCGCATGACAACGAGATCCTTTCTAGATAAAATTTTTACACATCCGCGTGATACTGATATTCAAATTAACGATATACGTGTACCGCGGAACAAAAACACATTAATGAAGGAAATCGATTCTAGCTCATTTATCCTTTTGACGAGGGACTGAAAAGGTGAAAAACCCGCCTGATTCTTTGCACTTCGAACTCTTCACTCGCCAGGCAAAGGAAATTTGTAAGTATAGTTTTGCTTTTCAGTGGCTTCCCTTTTTTCAAGTTGATATATTGTTGAAATATAAAACGTGAGCTATATAACAGTTAGTTGCCTCCTCCAATTCTCTCTTTATAACGGAACGACAGTTTGGGCGCTTTATAAGCTTTTAGAAACACTCAGTTTTTATTCAAACATTTTACAAGCGACATGTTTTCTCAGTTGAAAAAAAGTGTGCTTTTATCCTGTGAAATTCAAGGCCAGGAAAGCAATCACATCTGAGGGTGTGTCAAAGCTTTGGGCTGCATACTGCATTTTGTCTTAACAATGATGTTTGAAGTAATCTAACCGGGTCTAAATACCCTTTTCAATGAAATGGTGAAAGGTATGACAACAAACGTTGAGAACCTATTAAACAATCTTAATGAGATATACTTTCTCTGAAGGGTTACAAACGTGTGGGCCTGTATGATTTACTTCCCGGCAGTGCCACTAGTTGTAAACGCCCGTGGACACTAACTTTTATAATGCTTTCATAAAATTTCTTACTTTTCATTAAGAACATTTTTGTACTTTAATGGCATTATGCTTGCGTGATAGTATTAACTTTTATATTGTAAGATATTGTCTTGATTTGTACGTGTATTTATCATAACAGGAAAGTTTAACTGTAACAAAAGATAGTAATACATGCAAGGGAGGTAACTCTACCATTTTTTTTTTCTCGAGTTACTCATCAAAAGAAATGAAGCTGATGACAATGTATTCGTTGTTTTTGGTTCTCGTTTTTATCTCAGGAGTGAACGGCCAGAACAGGGCGAATATCTAGTTAATTACAACGTTGGTGTTAAAGGCAAATTAAAATTCATAGGATTTGTTCTAAACAAAATGCAAACGTATGTGTGTTCTATTCTGAAGATCCCAAATACGATTACAAATCCCGTCATCCTGACCTTAATTTTCGTGCTGATCTCGTCACCCTTAATTTTAGTGCAATCCCGTCATCCCGATGTTTGTTTTTGGCCCGCATCCCGAGCATTCTTTTAATAGCAAATCTCGCCCCCATTACGCTTTAAAATCTCGAATCCTGGCTTTCAAATGAGGGAAATTCTGCATCCCGAAAAACCTATTAGGGACCCTCTATTCTAAGCTTTGGGTGGGGAATAAAGTTCTTTTTCGATTCGCGCCATTCTGCAGCTGATAAAATGGAGAAAAAACGCAAATACTCTTTCAGATACCCTTCAATTTCAAAAGAGTTTGTTTGGAAAGCGTGAAAATTTGCGCGTAAATCGCAGACTTGATGTGGCATTATGATCGAAATTTTGTTGGAAATGTGAGTAAAAATCACTGCAGGAAACATTGCACACTTACAAAAACTGTTACTCGAGGGAGATATGGTTCAACAAGTGAAAACTAGAGGAGTGTTTTGAGCTGGCTCTCAATGGAAGCCGGCACCCGGCGATTGATCGCCGCTTTTTTTGGAATTTGTAGCCGCTTACTTGGCATTCTTTTTGCTACTTTTCCCTCCCTAGTTTACAGCCCCTACATTTGTCACAGCCGCCTACTTAAACTTAGGCAGACGCCTACTTCATATCCTATTGAGAACCCTGGGCTGGGTCAGTGACTGGCGTATTTGATCCTGATATTTACTTTATACACGTCTTTTTTAGATTAACCTTTTGCATATTATGTATTTTCAGTGTACTGATTTTATGTTATCGGAGCCCCAATTACACGTCAGTCCGAACAGATATTTTCCTAAAATTGACGTTGGGTGCCCCTGAGTCATTTCTTAGTGCCTTTACCAATACACAAAATGCTCCTGTGGAGTTTATATGAAGAACCGGATATCAAAGAAATTTCATCGGGGAGCACTAAGCAAAAAACATGTTTTTGGTGATTTTTGCAAGCATAACATTTAAACTTGAAAATGTTGGCCCAACTTTTTCAAGTTCCAATCCATGTCCATCATCCTTGCCACCGCTGGCAAAAGACGACAGTTTCAATCCCTAAATACATTCTTAAATAACAAGCTGGACCAGTTTGTTTGCAATTCCCAATTATCCGAAAAAATGTTCTAGCGTTTAATAGATAGCAAATAACATGACATAGCCCCAAGCAAGCTTTAACATACTCCTATTCTTTTTATTAGGCGTCATTAAAATACGTAAATATCATCCAAAAATTCACAAACATTTAGTTAAAACTAATTTGCTCGAATGAACGACATGAAGGCGAGAATTGACCGGAATATTGCCGAATACCTGAAAAATTATAATGCAGCTATAGAAAAAAAACCCGGAAATTTGGACATTACTCCCACGACTAACATTTCATTCTTTATTCGTATCAGTATTTTGATGACATATTCTTCATTTTACACAGCCTGGATGCCAAGGAGATGATGGTAATGCTAAGATTGGGACAGGGGAAAGAGATCAAGAAAAAACAGTTCCGCTCTCTCGACACTCTCCTCTTGGAGATGACGGACAAGTTTTTGCAAAAGAGTGTTGAATGTATAATTATGTACCTTGTGAGGTTTTCAATTTGTTCTGACCGCGTAGTAGGTCATTAGCTAATGTGAACGGATTGTAACTGGATTTTGAGAAATACTGCAGAAGCGTTTGATCGTGAAACGTAAATAACTGTAGTAACCGCTTGTGCTCCCAGTCTGTAATTTGTTTTAGCAGTGGGCATCAATAAACGAAATACCTAGTAGTGAAACTTTGTGTTATTAATTGTTTGAGATTATAAAAGCAAGGCCGGACCGCGATGGTGGTTCGGCGAAGCCCCTTTAATAACTACTCCACATGTGGCTGTGTCATGGAAAAGGCAGCTCTAGCCTTTCAATAAATATTCTCCTCTGCCACCTACTCTAGTTCTTCATGTCAGTTTTTGAGGACTGTTTGCCTTATTACCCCGAGAGCAGTTGTTTCTCCAGGCCGGACGCTACTAGCGTAGCGTCCGGCCTGGAGAAACCGCACTGCTCGCAGGGTATTTGTTTATAGGACTACCTGTACAATCTCTGTTTTAAAGCGTTATTGAGAGGCAAAAAACATCCATCCTCTCTTGTAGCATAGTATCCCAGTAGAGTATATTTACTGCACAAATTTCTTCCATGTTTTTCAAGGTTACTTTTGTCTACCCTAAGGCTATGTTCACATTAGCTGTATAGCTTTTGCGCTGCTTCAAAAATCATACCAGATAGAACTTCTGTTTACACATAAGAAGGGTTAGCCTGAATTTCATCCGATTACTTCGAGTCGTTATTACTCCCTCAGTAGGAGTAATAACGACGCGAAGTAATCGGATGAAATTCAGGCTAAAGAAGGGCGATTTCTCAGAACGGAGCGAAGCTGAGCCGTGTCCGATCTCCAAAGTAAAGAGTCACTTATCGGACAGGTGTTCAGTAAAGAATGACAAGGAGTTCGTGGACTAGGTAAAAGTGTGACTCACAATATCCTCCGTTTGTCAGACTATTGCACATTTCCACACCAGGATGAAAAAGGACAGTAGGGATCTTTTGGCCAGCGCTGGACATTTGTGCTTTTATACGGAAATTTATACGAAATTTATACGAAATTAGGAGGCTTTTTCCTTTTCAAATTTTAGGGTTTTACTTTCGGAAGGGCTTTATTTATTTATTCATTCATTTCTCGGAGTTTTACCGTATTTTTTCCCGCGCCTTGACTTTTCCGGAAGTGTAATACAACTGAAATGACTTTTCTCTTCCGGTTTTCGGACAAGCTCGACCCATTCCTTCCCGTCTAAGTTCGTTGTCCCGCTGTGATCTTGATCATTCTTGCACAAGAGGTGTATTCTGCAAATTTGCCAAATTATATCGAGTGAAACATCTTTGTAATGTCTGAGGTACACAGCTTGTATCTGTTAAAGTTCCCTGTAGTCAACCGATTGTTTTTTGCTATTTTTGTTGCTTTTTTATTCCTTTTTAAGTCGATGTAATGTCGTCTGTATCAGGCATTTCTGAAGGCCGCTGACGAGGTCAAGAAATTGGCTACAGAACCGAGTGATGCCGACAAATTAGAGGTTTATTCTTTGTACAAGCAAGCTACCGTGGGAGACTGCAATACAGGTAAAATTATTATGATATTATTTTTTTGTTACACAAGAAAAAGCACAGATTTGTCATCCCGGCCTCGTGAGCTAATCCTTCTCTTACCACCATATTTGAAACGTTGAGAATCTTCTGTAAAAAGATCAAATTTATAATCACGAAGTAGTGCATAAAGTGCTGAGTAGAGTTGTTTATTAGCTTTGAAATTTATATAAAGGAACTGTTCAAATTTGCACAATTTTAAGCTCATGCGTTTAGCTTTAGGCAGTAAATTTACTTCAGAAATGTCAATTGTGGACCTTGGACTTCGGTCTACGGACCTGAGCTGATTTAAAGTGGCTTTAAAATATATAATATTTCACCAGAACGTGGTGCATAGATAATTATTGAGGTGAATAACAGCTCAGTTTTGCTTCTGTTATGCCATCTCCACGATCAAGTTCAGTTTTTGCTGTGTGGCCTGGTTCAGACCTGTTTCAGGCTTTTGCGAGTGTGTTTTCTGGTAAATTGAACAAATTGGAACAAATGGTAAACACAATTCTAGGGCAAAATTACCTATCCTGAAGTTTGCTTACCATTATATTTTACCCAAACCATGAACCAACCAGTTTGCCCATGTAAATAATAAATAACTAGAGATTTGTCAAGTGGATAGCATCATCTAAATTTTGAATGACCAGGGCCTGCCTTATCCTGAATGGAGAACACTTTTGTGCCAGAGGTAGGGTTTATGGATGGGGAAAACTGAAAAGAGTTGCACTTTTCAGCTGACACTGACAACTGTCAATGTAGACAAGACTTAGTTACATCGTTTTCTGCAGGAAAATTGCTCTCTCCCTCTCCCTGTCTGTCCAAGTGGACAAGCAATATCATTTGAATTAAAAATCTACGTACATGTAGCATGATAAAACAGCCAACATTTTTGTGACACCACCACTTCTTTCCCCTGCAAAATGACATCTGAGAAACTAGTGTAGAAATTCCATACTGGTGACATGTAACTACCCAGATCTGGGTAGTGCTTCTAATGGTTGAAAATTTGCTTCCACACATTAGAAGTATTACCCAGAGCACAGAGACCTGTCTTCAGTATTGACTTTATGCATTCTTTTCTCAGACATCATTTTGCACAGAAACCAGCGGTAGCGTTGCGAAAATAAACCAGGGGCACCCAACGTCAATTTTCAGAAAATATCTGTTCGGAAAACGATTTGAGATCTAGAATTTTCAGAAAATTTGTTGTAAAATTTCTTGCTTGCCTGCCTCTCCTAGGATTTTTGAACGTCTAAGAAGTGGTATAATTGCCCATTTTAACGGATTTTTACCCTAAAAGGGTCACCTAGAATTTTCGGGAGCCTTTTTTCTGGCTGAAATTTTTGAAAAGTTAAGGTTTGATCCATATAATTTTCGGATCACTAGACTTTCAGCTAGGAAATCCGAACAGATGAAAAATTTTTAGGGGATAAAAATATGCCTATTTCTACCATTTAAATACTAAAATATGTTCAACAATGCTATGTTTAAGTGGTTTTAAACTATATTCTCGATGGGTGCCCCTGATCAACATCAGCTGTTTTCTCAGGCAAAAATCTATAGTGAAGAGAATGTTTGATCAAGAAAGTTGCCTCTTCAAGTTATTGGGTGCACTTTTTTGGCAAATCCAAAACCTGGTCTGTGATCTCCTTTGCCACCTAAAAAGTGAAAGGAGACATGTAAATATACAAAATATACACTTCTTCTCAGGCCAATTAGTCAAGTAGAGTCAGTGTATATATGTTGTGGTTCAATTTTATCCTTGGTTCAAATTTTCTCTTCTTTTGTTTCAACCTCATGATCATGTTATTATCATACATTACCATACCCAAAAACAAAAGAAAATATGAACGACGGATAAAATTGAACCACAACATATACATTAGAGTGGTGAACAATATACATATAATAACTAAGTAATAAAGCAGAAAAAAGTGATTGGTAATTTATTACATAGACTGAATAAACTGGAGCAGACATTACATAGGTATCAAAAAATGACAACTCAGGGTTTAAAACCTTCTACGAATATAAAAAGATGAGAAGCATGGAATTAATGAGTTGTAACTAATACTAATCACAAAATGGCAACACTAACATAGGCTCAGTTAGGATTTGGATTTGATCTGAAGAATCCACTTAAAGTGTGGACTTAATGGACTCTTGATCCATTTTTGGATTCAGAAATATCTGGATTTGGATTTTCCTCAAAAAACGCACCCATTATTCATCCTGGTATGGACTGCTAACATTTCTCACTGCACCAACAATAGACCTTTTTACCGATACAGTGGCAATTTTGAATTAATTCTGTCCAGGGGGCATGAGCACATTTCGTTTGTATTTTCGAGCGCTTTTCGGGACATTTTTTCTTGAAGTTTTCTTAGAATAAGATTGTAATGGGAAAAAAGATCCTTGTGCCGTGTTTGGATGTAATAATGATCGCCTTTTTCTAGTTTAGTATTAGAAATATGGTCTTTCACTGCATATTTCTCGGGAAAAAGGCGATCATTATTACATCGAAACACGGCACAAGGATCTTTTTCCCCATTACAATCTTATTCTAAGAAAACTTTAAGAAAAAATGTCCCGAAAAGCGCTCAAAAATACAAACGAAATGTGCTCATGCCCCCTGGGCATCCTATAATACTCCTTAAATTGAATTAATTCAATATGGCCACCGTATCGGTAAAAAAGTGAGTTAACTCTTGCAAAGACTTCTAGAACTGTTACTGGAGACAGAGAAGAAAAAGTGGCCAATAGCTGACTGGTGCATCCCCAGTAACAATAACAGAAGTCTTTGCAAAAGCTAACTGAGACCAGTTTCCTTCTCGATTCTAAAGTGGTGAATGACTTTATCAGAGAAAACAGCCAACATTTCGCTACATCACCACAGGTTTCTACACAGAATGATGTCTGAGAAAATAGTGTAGAAATTCCATACTGATAATCATAAGGCGTTACTATCCAGATCTGGTTAGTGCTTTTGATTGGTTGAAGCAAATTTTAAGCCAATCAGATGCACTACCCTGATCTGGGTAGTGACGCCTCATCAGTATGGAATTTCTGCACTAGTTTCTCAGACATCATTTGGCGAGGAAGCCAGTGGTGGCGTCATGAAATGTCAGCTGTGCACCAGGGATGTCACTAAGAGCCAGCTGTGGGCTAATTTCACCGGCTGAAAAAGAGCTTACCACCAGCTCAAAGTACTCTGCAAAACAATGACAAATGGTAATTTTGAAGATGCAGTTGAGTAAAAAAGCTGGCTTGACTAATAAAAAAGCCTGCTTATCGTTTCCTTAGCTACTGTACACCCCTGACAATGACAGCAGTGCTTTGGATCAAAGCCCACCAACCTTGAGAGAGGTTTGTTAAATGCTGACACAGTGTTACATTTGCCCCACTTGTTAAATTGAGCTTCTCAAGAACAGCAGTACAAGGTTGAAACGATGAGATCAGTATCAAAGTGACTAGCTATCGGGAGACAAATGACCAGCTTTTAATGCACCAAGACTCACATTTACAATTTCATTTCTCAAACAATGGGATTATGTCCTTTCCACAGCAAGACCTGGAATGATGGATTTTGCTGGAAAAGCAAAATGGGATGCCTGGAATGGAAAGAAAGGTAATATTAAAAATTTTAATTTGGAATGATTTACTTCAAATGCCTGAAAGCTTTACACCACCAAAGCAAGTCCCAATAGGGAGATTAAGATTTATGTTTGCCATTTGGCTTAAAATGGCAAATGTCAGATTCAAGTTGAGAATTTCTCAGAATAGAAAATAAGCAGATGAAAACTGTCCAGAAGAATTCTTATGTATAAAACTGGCGTGAAACTACTTATTTTTTAGTTTAAGTACTAAAAAGGTAATGACAATTAAGGGAATTCAAAAATGGTATAAATTCATGTTTGCCGTTTGGTGTAAACGTGAATCAGAAATCTCTCTAATATTATTGTTCTTGTAGCTTCTGAGAGCAGTTGCCGCATGAAACTTGATGTCTGTCCCAACATCCTATGTCTACTGTTAAAATACAGAGTTTGACAGGGCTATCAGATATTAGCAGTTTTGTTTGATTTTAAAATTATGCAACAGGCCCCAGACCAAGTTGTAAAAAGTAAGATTAACTGTTTTGATGTGAAGCATATGAAATAATTCATTTTTGAACTGCGGTTGTAGATGAGAGTGAAGAATGATCATCGCAGTAAATTTTCCAATTTAAGCAATCGGAAAGAAGAAGCCTGAAAAAATCAGGGCTTCAACGGGATTCGAACCCGTGACCTCCGCGTTGCTGGTGCAATGCTCTACCAACTAAGCTATGGAGCCACACATTGGGAGCGAGGTCAATTTATTGAGTTCATCAATTCACTCCTTACCGGGGACATATGAACTCAATAAATTGACCTCGCTCCCAATGTGTGGCTTCATAGCTCAGTTGGTAGAGCAACGCACCGGCAACGCGTAGGTCACGGGTTCGAATCCTGTTGAAGCCCTGATTTTTTTCAGGCTTCTTCTTTCCGATTGCGTAAATTGGAAAATTTACTGCGATGATCATTCTTCACTCTCATTAACTGTTTTGTTTACCTCAGTGCGCTAACTATACTTCTGATTGTATGTTTAATAATCTGTTGAACCTCCCACAAGCAGCCACTCAAGATGCGAAGATTTAGTGATTGCTTACCGGAGGTGGTCACTCACGAGGATCAAACTGCAGGGGATCTTTCCCGTAAATAGGTCCCGACACATCTACTTTTTGGCACAGAATATATTTTTTTTAGTTTATGTTGTCACTGAAAGTTTTTCATATACTCTGAGCGGAGCTTTACATACAGCAAACAAGGAGACACACCATGGGTCAAGAGGTCGCTTACAAGAGTTTTGAAAAACAATGAGGAACTATAAATCCAGCTGGCCAAAAAGTACCGTAAAATTCCGAAAATAAGCCCCTCCATGTATAAGCCCCAGCAAATATAAGCCCCCCAAAATCGTAACGCAAAAAACACTCCGTTAAATCGCCCCTCCGAATATAAGCCCCCCGGGGGGGCTTGTACTTGGAATTTGCCCTCGAATATAAAGTGAAACAAAGCAAAGATGGTAAATTTCCTTCCCACTACAAGCTAGCCCAATCGATTTTGAAACGCAAATTTCCCTCCGTACATAAGCCCCTCCGAATATAAGCCCCTCCGAAAATAAGCCCCTCAAAAAGGGCCTTTGAAAAATATAAGCCCCGGGGCATATTTTCGGAATTTTACGGTAGTTGCGATAGCTTTTGAAAGGTGGTTGTTTACGAGAGGCTTTATTGTAGGGTTTTGACTGCGAGAGTCTTTCTCAAATCATCATATAGGTCACAGTGAATTAATATGTGCATTTTATTTTCATTACCATTATTCTTATTTCTTCTTCTTCTTATCATCATCATCATCATCATTATAAAAAAATTAAATAAAAGGGGATTGTTTTCTTATTTGTTTTCTCAGGTATGAGCAAGGAAGATGCTGAGGCTGCCTACATCGCAAAAGTGGAAGAGCTTAAAAAATCTTGCAGTTGATTTTCATTTTTAGCTGAGGCCAAGAATAAAGCAGTTTTCTTAGAGAGTGTGTGTGTTTGAGTTTTTCCTTTTCCTTAGTACATAATATTTAAATAATTTTGCATACACATTATCCCCCGCTTTTTGATTTTTTGATTTATGGCCATATACAATGAACCCTACAAAAGAAAAAGGTTTTACAGAAGATTGAAAGAATACCAAGCTTGAGGAGGCTTCGCTTGAGGTTTCAACATGGCGCTTTCGCGAGCAAATTGCACGCTCAAAGAAAACGCCTGCACTGCAGGCTACATGTACGCTTGAGGAGCCTCATTGTTTTGTTGCTGTTGTTGTTGCTGTTTTTTTTTTCGTAATGTACATCGCTGGTTTACATCTGGTGCCAAACGTTTTAGATCTGATAGCAGAAAAAATCTCAGAGGTGGGTGAGTACTCCCTATAATGGCCTATGCAGGGAGGCTCCGCCCGAATAGGGTACACTTTTCAGGCTTCGGGCATAAAAAAGAGTTGAATTCCAAGATTTCAGGTATATAAAAGAGTAGGAAAATCTGCCATTAAGCAGAGAACTACCTTGGGGCCTGGGTACCACAGGCTTTTCATGGGCGTTTTCCGGTTTTGGTCAAGTTAAGTAAGAAAGAAAGAAAACTTTATTTACTGAGGGTGGAGTACATTAATTACCGGTAGCCCGGTAGTTTTCATAATGGCCCTCGAAAAAGAGAAATTGTAATAAAAACTAGAAACATTCTACTAATTCCAAAAGATCCTACTTTTTTTTAAGATTTTTAAAATTCAAAAAAGTCCTAGTCGTATTAAAATGGTCTAATAACGAGTTTTCCTCGACAAAATTGTTCTGTAGCATTTTCCTGAAATTTGTATGGGACCTAATGTTTCCTGTATGAGTTACCCAAATTATTCCATAGACGACCTGCACTTGAATGGAAAGATTTAAGCCCCGAGTTTCTTTTACATGATGGTGTCAGAACGTCATTGTATATAGCAGATCTGGTACGATAACCATGTGTAGACCTGACATGTTTAAAATATGAAGTAGAATGTTCAGGACAGTGACCCTGGCTTACTTTATGTAGCAGTAAGAGTTTTCTAACGCGTATAATGTCTATGGGCAGCCAAACTAACTGGTCAATAAGTTCAAGCGAGCTATCATTTATGGTGGCGTCCAAAATAAGTTTTTGTAGTTGTAATAGCCTTTGAAGGTTAACAACGAACAGCTACCCCAATTAAACGGTATAACAGTACTCAAGAATTGGCTTAATAAGGGCATTAAATAACATTTTTCTGCATTCAATAGTTAAATAGACTCTTGCTCTCTTGAAGAGGCATATTCTAGAGGTCAGCTTTTTTATTAGATTGTCAACATGTAAGTCCCACGAGAGGTTAAGATCAATGACGACACCAGGGAGCTTTTCTCCTACTGATTGCCCCAATCTTGTATTGTCAATGGAAAGTTCTAATGTAGTTTTTTCACTGTGCTAGAGCTTCTTAGCAGAACCAATGAGTAAGTGCTTGGTGTTTTTGATGTTAGGTTGCATTTCATTGAGTTTAAACCAGCAGTTCGCTTTGCTTCGACCCTCATTTTACGTTTGTTGTATTTCAATGCAGGTAGTTCCACAGGCTTTCCACTTGACAAAAAAGTTGTATCGTCAGCATAGATGTCCACTTCAGTTTCTTTCAGCAAAAGAGGCTAATCGTTCATATGGACAGAAGAGAGGTGAGGGCCTAAAATGGAACCCCGTGGGACTCCTCTGTCTAGCCTTGCGGGACTGGAAGGAACGCTAGAGACTGAGCAGACTTGTCTAGTGTGATACTTGGCAAGCTTTGCTATGAGGATATCGTGACTTACTAAATCAAAGGCTTTACTGAGGTCTAGGAAAACTGTTCCTACTGGATCACCATTGTCCATAGCCTTTAGCCATTTTTCGGAGATGTTCAATAGTGCAGTTTCACAAGAATGGTGGGAGCGGTAAGCAGATTGATTCTTAGAAGATACGCTGGTGCTACATGTCGTTCCAGAGGTCTATAGACAGTATAGGCAAGACCGATATAGGGCGATAGTTGCCTCTTCCATTCGGTGAGCCCTTTTTGTGAAGTGGTGTAACCTTGGCTTCTTTGAAGGTAGCTGAAAAAACACCTTGACTGATGCTTGTGTTGTAAACATGCGCAAGACTCGGCAATATTGCTTGTAAGGTGTCCTTTAATATGCGGATGCTGATACCATCTATTCTTTTTGCCTTGTTTGATGGAATTTTTTTCAGATCTGCTTCAATGATTTCTTTAGTAATGGGCGGAATGCAGAATTGAACTTCATCATTTATACCAAGAGAGAATGAGCTGTTTATACGGTGTATTGACAAAGTTACGTTTAGCAAAAGAGCATCGAGCTCAGACTTTGTGGTTACGGGACCTTCTGGTGGCTCTGATGTTACGTTTAACGAAGTAACATATTCAGTAAAGGCATCCGCAATTTTCGCAGGGTCTTTTATGTGTTCTTCGTTAACTTTAATAGCGATTGGCGCTTTGGAAGGAGGTTTATGTATGTTTTAGCAGCTTCCAAAGATTTGTTGAGTTATCTTTGTGTTTAAGAATCTTTTCTTCAAAATAATTTCACTTTGCATTGATAATCAGTTTAACGACCTTGTCAGTTCTGGCTCTTTTGTACATTGTTAAGTGCAAATGGTAAAGTGCTTGAAAGATCACCTCGCACAAGTTCCTTGGTGTGTGGATCCAAGAAAACCTCTGATCGCGTAACTAAGGCGGTATCATCGTGCATTGCAGCGCTATCAACACTCAAGAAAATCAGCAATATGGCGCCCTTAGCTTTAACATTTAAGGAAGCAAGTCTTAAAGTCTTGACGTGCCGGCCTGCAGCCGTCCTCGAAGCATCTCGCGAGAAAACCCCTGGTACTCAAGATAGCAAAGAACAAAAGCGATTGAGTCTTCAGTCATTTTTCAATCGGAGAAGTATGGAAGATGAACCTTTTCTGAAAAAAAAAATGATAGAGAACATAGAAGACATATATGCTCTATTGTTAAGGGGTTGGACTTCGGTACGGATCCTCTCCGATTAAAACTACTGTGGAGTCCCCCCAGGGTTAACTTACAAGTCCCCACACTATCTCAATGATAGCAGCATGAACAAATCAGCCCGCAGAGTGGAATTACTTCCATTATCAGACAGCTATCCCCGTGGGAGGGGTGCTTCCTATATAAATGGCCTATACGGGGAGGCTCCGCTATAAGTGGATACCTTTTTTACGAAGCTGTTCTTTACTGTTCTGTGGCTCCTTCTGAAGCCTTGATCTCTGGGTTTGCGACAACAGAACAAGAACTAATGTGGTGGTTTGAGCCAATTGGCTCCTGTTTGAGTTCAATAACCAATTCAAGTCCTCCTGACGATTTAATTATTTTCCCAACCTTGACGGCGTCTAGAGAAGAGTGTCGTTATGGCGCAGATGGCGTCGATCGAGGACTTAATGTTAATCTTTAAATCTGAATAAAAAAGCTTCTTACGTGAAAAGGGCCAAAACGCAATTTTACCGGGTCCGAGGAGCTGAAAAATCGCTCAAAACCCAGATGGATAATTGTAAAAAAGGAAGAGAAGGGCAAAGCAAAAGGAGCAGAAGAGGGAGAGTGACAAGCAATGGTCTTACTCTCATTTTTTTAAATGTCTACCTTGGAGATAGCGCGAGGATACAGCCCTCTCATCGCCCCTAGTCGCTGTGGGACCACGGCGACGAAGAGTTTTGAGAGTCGGCTGCATTCGCAGGCTGAATAACAACAACGACAACAAAAATGATTGATCAACAAGAACCTCACCGCAGGTACGTTTCAAAAATTCAACTTGATATGTCGGTCTTTACGTTATAACAGTTGTAAATAGTGTGGATGGAAGGATAATTATACAAACCAAATCTTATCTGTGTCTCTGTGAGAGCACTAAAAGAACAGACTCCTCCTTCTCAATCTAGATTAGCTTAAAAAAAAAAAAACGCTTTCGCAGTGTTTAATTTTTTTGTAACAACTCTACCTGGCGCGGAGTGAGCCATTCGGGTCACGTCTAGGCCTCATTATTGCGCGCGGCCGATGCGTTTCGGGTCACGTGGACCGAGCAAGTTTCACCCTGCCGTTCGTCCGGGATACGTCACCGAAATACATTGACCTAGAAGGCCTGGGAAGACGTCGCACAGGGACAAAGCAAGTAAAGGACCATAAAAAGAGGTATAGAATGCTACCTAGAAAAACGCGAGTCTCGGAAAATTTTGGCCAGATCTCGAAATCTTGGAAGTGTTTTTGATGGGTCTCGG